AGAAAAAGACAACATTAGGTGAAGTAGCAAGCTGGAAGACAAATCAGTAGAAAATACCCACTGGAAGGATGGAAATTTTAAAAACAGAAAAATTTAGACAAGTGTGCAAGAGATAAGTGAGCCATGAGCTACATGTTTAACATAATTTCCACTTTGAGCGCTGGAAAAGGAGGAAGGAAATAGAGGGGAAGGAAGGAGTAATATCTGAAGAAATAATGACAGGATTTTCCAAAATGGATAAAAGACACCAACCCATAAATCCAAGAAATCCTGGAAATTCCAATGGGATTAGTAAAACAGCAAAATCTAGACACATCACAAGGAAGCTGCAAGACAAAGATTTTAGAGGCATTCAGAGAAATAGTTCAGAAGTTGCCACCAAATTTCAAGCCAGAAACTTTGAGGAATGACAATCAATATGACCATGAGATTCTGTTGGGAATCAGGATGCAAACAGTGCCCGTGTCACCCTACGTTTAAAAATAAACTGAAAAAGCTGGAAAAACATTTTAAAATGTTATTTAATCATGGGAGCGATGAAAGCACCGCAGGGATTTACCAGGAATAGGCAAAGGGAGACGAGACACCAGGATGTGTGCAAGCACAGAAGCCACTTTCCATTTGAGGGCATTTGCTGGTTCCGGAGAATCTGGTTCTCACGTCTGACAGCCTTAGGGTGAAAGGGACACAGATCTAACCCCCAGGACACAAAGGGTTGAGGGGATACAGGAATGTAGTTCTAGCATACAAAGGGATAATGTACATCACATCTTCACAGTGAGAATAAAGCAAAAGGGACGGGCCCGGCTTGGACTTGCTTCCCAGTAAATTGCTTGACTTCCTTGAACTTATTTTAAGAGTTCTGCATTGGTGTGCCGAGGTACTCCAAATACCAAATGCAAATCCTTTCCAAAAAGTAAAACTTCACGGTGCACCTAAATGTAATCTATGAGAGATTTTTGCATACGATGCTAGGACTCAGATAACCGGCAACAAAAGCAAAATAATCTTTGTGACTAGAGGATGGAAAAGGGAAGAGAGGAGGTGTATAGCAGAGAAGGCTGCTTTAACCAAATGGCCAAGGTCAGCAGCACTAGTGAAAATCCCCTCCCCAGGTCTGTTCTGTCACCAGGCCCGCCGCATGCTTTCTTGAACCCAAGACAGGGCACTGAACCTTTCCAGACACTGATAAACATGTTTAGCTTGTTTCCAGAGACACCGAATTAACCCCATCACTGAGCCAAATAGCTAAGCCCCCATTCAAACTCTGCAGCACAACCACTCACTGTAGACATAACAGGTAGAACACCTCTCCTGTCCTTCACAAGCACCGTGCTGCCAGGACCCATCTCTAGGGTGCTTAGCATCTTTCTTTGGAATTCCATCTGGCCCAATCTGGAGGCAGTCACTTGTGGGAACTCCCTTGGGGGCAACTCCAGCCATGAGTGGAGCTGGACAGAACAGGCAGTGACGATTCATGTTGGGGTCACACCTCCCCTGATGGAGTGTAAGGAGGAGATCACATCATGGACCCCGGCAGAACCATGAGAAAAACATAAAGACAAACCCTAAATGGGAGACACTCTACAAAACGCCTGACCAACATTCTTCAAACTGTCAAGGTCATACAAGACAAGAAAGGCAGAGAAATGCACAAACCAGAAGAGAGCAGGACAGCAGAATGAAATGCAAGGTGCCCTGGGATGAACCTTGGAGCGGAAGAAGCACATTAATGGGAAAACTTGTGAGGCTGAGAAGTCTGGAGTGATCTATACCCATACCACCCTCACTGCGCCGATCTCACCTGAAAAGTCTGTTTGGTTAAGAGCGGAGATGTATCCGAATTGGCTTTTTTTTTCTTTCCATCCTGACAAAAGCATTGGAGTTAAGCAAGAAGATAAAAATCAGAGAGAAATAAAACTGGGTGCAGAGTAGACAGCAGCACTGTTATGTTATCTTGGCAACTTTTCAGCAACTATAAAGTTATTCCAAAATAAAAAGTTTATTTAAAAAAACCTTTGTGAGAACCAGAAGAAACAACAGAAACCAGGGCAACCAACATTCTACATTGAAAGTATCAGATGCTAATTTTGAAATTTCTTTCATCTGAGAGGGGCTTTTTATTTAAAAAGGAAGGGATCACCTATAATTATGCAATGACAAAAGCTTATCCTGGGGGATGGGGGATCCATGCAGGCAACTGCTATTACGACTTCCACTTCATGTAGTACCTGAAGTCCTGGCCGGTCCAACCAAGCAAGAAACAAAAGTAATAATATAAGGACTTGATAGGAATAACACAACTCATCATTTATAGACAATATAAATTCATCAATTTATATTCTATAAATTTGTATATTTAATTCATTAGAGCTAAAATAGTACAGCACAGTTCAATGTATTTTAATTTATTTATTATTTTGGTACCAGGGATCAAACTTGGGACCTTGCACTTGCAAGGCTGGCGGTGGAACCACTGAGCTAAATCCCCAAACCCCCTTCAATGTTTTTTTAATCTTAGCAACAGATCGCTAGAAAACGGATTTATGATTAGTTTATACCAGCATAAAGATGCCAAATGACTTTGAAAGAAATCTAGCAGAAGTACAAACCTGCAAAGAGGAAAATACACATTTTATTTAAAAAGATTTTGAGAAGCTGGGGGTGTAGCTCAGTGATAGACCAAATGTCTAGCACATGCAGGACCCAGGGTTCAATCCCCAGCATTGCAAAGAAGAAGCAGAAGAAGAAAAAATAAAACATTTTAAATAAACAACATACATATATCAATATTGCAAAAATGTCAATAATCTTGCAACTGTCTTATAGTTGCAATGCAATCGCAGCACGGTTTTGATGCACTGATTGGAGGAGACACATTGGAAGAGGAGGAAAAGGTTCACTGTGCCAGCATCAGGAGTCATTGGGAAGCCGCGGTCACTACAGCAGGGGTGCCATAGTGGGCTGCGGCCAAGCAGAGAGAACACAGACACACACCTGCCAGATGGTCACTCGGTGGTGTTTTCAGAAAAGCCGCTCAGAGTCAAAGTAGAACCTTTAAACTGTCACTCACTCGGATGGGAAACAATTCAGTCTCAGATAAGACAGCGAATGTGATCAAATTGCCCAGATAACATCTGAATGAATGGGAAATTTGAGGCCTAAGCGAGGTGGTCTGCAAAACCATGAGCAGGCACGTGAAGGAATAAAGGAACACAGGATGCAAAATCCAGGCAGGGCAAATGAATAAGAGCCGCTGAAAAAGGACTAGCAGAAGGTCCGCCAAGCGTATAACACCACACCAGAGCGACACGCGGCGAGCTGGAGACCCTGAATCAACAAGACCAAGACGCAGTGTGAAGTGGGGCTTGCAGGGCTGGGGAAAGACATTCGGGTCCCCTCTCAGAAAGAAACACAATCAGCATCTTTAGAATTAGAAATCATAAGAAACAAACTCGTTAAACACTAAATAATTGTCATGGAGAAAAAGTTAGAGGCAACCATTATGAATACCAAGTGAGAAATTGGAAGGAAACTGCCAGCTTTCAAGGGCTGCACCAGCAACTTCCGGCAGCCATTTCTTTATTAAAATGAAGACACCACTTACATCTATAGCACAACAGACCTATATTTCAAATATTAAGTTTTCATAAGACAAAAGTCACCACGCACAAAGTGAAAAGATGATAAAGGAAACAGTTTTCCAGGACCTGTAGCAAAGTCTACCATGTCATGAAAGTAAGGACAAACACCTGAAGTCCATGGGTAAAAGAGAACCAGCGGTAGAACAAGGAATTAGAAGAACAGTAAACAAACAAACAGCAGCATAAAACAGTCAATGGCTCACTTAACCAGGAAAATACAGAATTAACTAACACAGAGTGCACTCCTTTCTCATCTCATTTCTGTTTAAGATATACGTTGATTCAGCCCCTTCCAAAGGAATCTGGCAGAATATATTAATGCCTTTTGCCACAATTAATTTTTCTTTGTTTTTGACACAAGTACTTGTACACATACAAAATACCAAAAAGAAGTATATAAGCATCGTTATGACAGCTTGTTGGTAAAATAATCCACATGTTCATCAAAGCGGGTCTGGCCTACAAATTGTGGGACACAGATCAACGCTCTGGACTAGTACGAAAGCGGATAAAAAGGACGAGGGAGATGAGCCGCTATTAAAGTGGAAAATATCCCTAGGATTCCCATTTTAAAACAAGTAATGCAAAATGCGACCAGCACGTACCGCATCCTCCCTCGAAAACAAGATACTTCTGTGTATCAAACAAAATATAGTTTTCTTTACATTCCTCTACACTGTTTGAAGGTTGATAAACAAGATTGCATTATGTATTTAGTTTGTACTTAGAAAAATTAAAATGTTAAATAGTGTTTTTCTAATCCCATTTTTCTCATCAGAATCACCCCCTGGGCCAGAAAATTAAAGTGAAAATCGAAGTCCTCCACCGGTACCAGCCTTTTGCCCTTGTGGGCCTTTCTCTTTCTTCTTTTGATCAAGAGGCCCCGCAGCCCTGGGACAGCCCCGGAGCTGACCACTGACCGAGGCTGGAGTGGGACAGGTAGCAGACTGCCCTACTCCGGGCTTAAAAGGGGGAGCAAAGTTTACAGGAAGCTTTCTCACAGGAACCACAGTCCCTGACCCCCGCAGGACGTGGGGAGGGAGCAGAGAGAATGAGAGCAGTCAGAAGTCAGGCGGAAACAGCATATCCCTGCCTCAAAGCACTGCCCTGTCCAGAGTCCCTGCAAAACAAAAAAAGTCACGCGTTCCGGGCAACTTGAACTTTCCAGACAGCTTTGCTGCTCAGGTGCAAACGCCCCGTTTGCTTCCTCTTTGCCCATGCGGACTTCATTAAGTCCCAGCTTGCTCTTGTGAAGCAGGCTGAACTAAATAAAGGAAAGCTGTGGACGCTGAACTCAGGACTCTAAAGTAGCAATACTGCCTGAGGAGGCGGGTGGATTAAAGGAAGGGGACTCACCTGGTGTTCAGGTCCCAGCCCTCATCTGCCATCTTCCCGTCCAGTCCTGCCTGGGCCTGGGACGGTGGCCTTGGTGGCGGTTTCCCTGCCTGAGTCCAGAGTGGCTGAGAGGCACAGGGCAGGAAATCAGTTGGCCGGCCGAGGAGGCAGGGCTCCGCCCCAGTCGGGAAAACAGAAGTGAAAGTATTTCTTCAGTAGTCTCCTCCACGAAGCTCAAAAGACAACCCCCTCCTGCCTCAGGCTCTCACCTTTCCCAAAATGTGGTTGCTGGCGTGAGGACCAGCCTGATTGTCTGGGTCCAGAGAACAGGGAAGGGGTTCCCAGGGACAAGAAGGACTAGGTCCCGGCCCCTTGTTTGTGCAAAGACAGAAAAAAAAAAAAAAAAAAAAAA